AGATGCAAACTGAGCTGGCATGCCTGTGCACACATAAACATAATCCAAAGTCTCGATTTTTTTTTTTCTGTTTTATGAAACAAATATTTTTCAACTGTCAGGAGTACTAAACTCACTCCCAGAGAGAATGTTGGGGAGGTTGCTAACAGCGAAATCCTAGTGAACAAATGTTCCACAATAGGGACCTTAACTTCTTTACAACTGAGAATTTTGTCTGGAGCATGGCAGTAGCAAATGCCTTGAAGGTCTAAAAATGCAGGTCTCTGTTCACTATCAAAATCTATTGCCAGATTTGAATTGATTCTGCTTTTTGAGGATCTTGAATAGTCTTATTGTAAAAAAGAAAAATATGTTTTGCAATATCTGACATCACTTAGGATATCTGTTTAAATCTACAAAATCCATGCTGGATATGGTGGCTAATGCCTATAATTCCAGCATTTTGGGAGGCCAAGGTGGGTGGATAGATTGAGCCCAGTAGTTGGAGACCAGCCTGGGCAACATGGCAAAACCCCGACTCTACAAAAAATACAAAAACTAGCTGGATATGGTGGTGCATGCCGGTAATTCCAGCTACTTGAGGGGCTGAGGTGACAGAATTGCTTGAACCCAGGAGACGGAGCTTGGAGTGAGCCAAGATTGTGCTACTACACTCCAGCCTGGGTGACAGAATACGACCCTGTGTCAAATAAATAAATAAATAGACCTATAAAATCCTTATTGGGTCTTGAAGAGAAATGTACTATTTTAATTGTAAAAAAAAACTGCTATTAAAGTAGATTAAAAGTTGCTGGGGTGAGGAAAAAAAAATTAAATACATGTAGGAATACATGCAATGATTTGCTCTTAGATAAAATAAAATTGAGAATCTGTATTAGCAATTCCTTGACTATACTCTGAGGGAGGGATTCTCAAAGTTGACCAGACACGAGAATCCCCTGGAAGTCTTATTAAAACACAGATTGTTGAGCCCCACCTCCAAAGTTTCTGGTTAAGCAGGTTTGAGATTGGGCCTAAGAATTAGCCTTTCTCATGAGTTTCCATTTATATTCATGCCTTTGGTCTGGGGCCATAGTTTGAGAACTGGTTGAGAGTCTCTATACTACAGAGGTTAAGAACCTGGCTTCAGGCCAAATTGGATGGATTTGCCTCTTAACCCAGCTGGTTATTAGATGTATAACCTTGGGCAAGTTGTTAGACTCTCTTTCTCTGTTTTTTCATCTGTAAAGTGAGATAATAAAAGTAACTACTCCCAGAGATTGCTGTGAGATTTTGTTAGCAAGTGTAAAATACCTAGAACAGTGCCTGGTCCACAGCAAAAATCACTTCAGACAAAATATCATTTGGTCCAAAAACTTTGAGTCACCACCCTCAGGAAGGCATGAAGATTATTTCTAAAACTTCTCTAGTGTTTTGAAATTGGATTCGACAAATAGAACTAAAATTCTACATTAGTACTTTGAGAAAAAGAGGCGAAGTCTACTTCAGTTTGGAATGGTATATAGGGTTAGTATTGGAGAATAAAATAAAAGAGAATAAGTGAGAATAAAAGAATAAATGAATATTTTGGAATGCTGTAAAAGGCAACTGACTAAATAAGGTGGTGAAACAGGAATTATGAATCACTGGAGGATGACAAATGGACAATAAGCATCTTAGGATGGGAGTGAATGAAGGCATCAAGAGGCAAGGGTGTGATAAAAGAAAGGAGAGAAGGCAATAATGAACATTTGTCTGGGTCCTTTGGAAAAGCCACTGATGGTGGGATCCACACGGGTCTCAGCTGTGGGGCACTGTGGTGTACATGGTGCATCATTGATGCTTGACCTGGTCAGTAAATATGGAACAAGATAATTCCTTCTTTGACGTATCACTCACACTTAGTCAAAGGGGCATATATTAATCTGTGTGACTTGAACGTAGATAATTGAGGAAGAAGGTGTCTAACCATAATAAATTTAAGAGGCTCCTTAGGGAAAAAAAAAGGGGTGGAAACCCCCCACAAATTAAGAAGCAAGCTTTGAACATCAGAAGCAGTGACACAGACAACCTCAGACTTGAAAAGCAGCCAAATTTAGTATAGGTACAATATGATAGCATCACACATCATTAGGCGTATTTAACTCATGCATAGCCCTGCTTTGTAAACAAATCTACCATGAATTGATCTCTACTTCTGAAAGTGATCAGAAAGTCCCACTTCCCTAGAGCAATCACTGATCATCTGTTAAGAAATATATATTCTAGAATTTATTGAGGTTCTGTAGTGCAATAAGCATTGATAAAATTGCTCTCAGGCTTGCTCTGTGGTAAAGGAGAATGATAAGAGGAGAAATTCTTACACCCAAAATGTTCACCCACCGTGTGTCCAACAGAGTGTCCTGGGCCTGGTTATTTACCCAGGGGATATTAAAATGATTTGACCACACAAACATACTTACTTTTTCCTCATCTTTGGTTGCATATTTTTTACCTGTGAAAGCCTATTCCATATCCCATGCTGTGTGACATGCCAGATAGTGGCCAAAAAGTGGCTGCTTTGCACAGATATTTCAAAGATAAACTCAGGCATGTATAATCTCTAGTGTCCAGTCCTAAAGTACCTCACCTTCCCAACAGCTTTCCAAAGGGTGCCAGCTCATTTACCACTGCCAGTTCTCTTATTGTGCTGATATGTAATTAATATGGCTTTATGAACCTGAATTTATGTAAATAACTATGTTATTTTATGGTCCTCTCACTTTTCTTAAGCTTCAAATCTTTCCTATTTGTGTTGGTTATTTCCAGTTTGGAAATCCCCTTTGATAGAGAAAGAGACAAAATAAGAGTTAGACTGTTTAGCTACATTACGGCATTAGTTAATATTATTTTTTCTTCCCAAGTAAAGAAGGTCTCTTTTTTTTTATTTTCTTTCTCTGAACATTATTTAAAGCCCATTTTACTTCTTTTATAACTTATAGACTATTTTAAGGTACAATTATCTGTTATATGAAAAAATTATTACTACAATAAATTTTAACATTTCATTTGTACGAATACATGTCATTTAAATAACTTATTCAAAAACATTCATGTTCCTTAATGCCTAAAAATATAGAAATCAGAATGTTGAGATTTTCATTTGCCACAGCTTGATGTCTTCCCAAATTTGTGCAGCTGAGAAACTCGAAATTTCTGATTCTAAATTTCTAGTTTGGAAATTCAGAAATACGTATTCAGGAATTACCTAAGAGGAGAGTTTTGGATGGTTCTATATAATTGAAGTCTCTTAGCTACAAAATAATGTTTCCATATCAGAAAATTCCAAGAATGCATTCATGAGAGCATTAAACAAAATTCCAGAATGTTGCTTATGCTGTTTATCCATCCAAACTCCTTTCCCTTCTTCTCCCTTTTTATTAAGTATTCCAATGTCATCAAGGGTCACTAATGATCTCAGGCACCCTAAGAAATCTTCTGAGACATTCTCAAGCTTCAGAGACCTTCTTCTCACTAATTTCTCATGAGAGGAACTGTCAGGAGAAATCACTTGGCATTTAGCAACTTATCTTGTGATGTATTCTTTTAGGTTTGTATCTTTTCTAGTCAATTACTTATAATTTATTTGAAATCTGGAGTCATAATGTATTTTTGCACCCCAAACAACTAATAATAGTCAACTAAACATAAGTATTTGTATATATGCTTTGGATAAAGAACCACGTGTATCTCTATGCAAAAAAAAAAAAAAAAAAAAAAAAAATGAGGCATAAATCAGATAGCATAAAGATATGTTAATTCTATTTCAAAACTGTAAGAAATGTAGTCAATTCAACTTTGCCGCCACTTACATTAGGAAAAAAAACACCACCTTAAAATTGAACATCAGGGAAAATAATAAGAAAAAATTTATTTTGGCTTCTTATAAACTAGGACAAAATTATAAGTAATGCACTGCCACCTGGTGGCAAACTTTCACTTTAAGTAAAATGAACAGTTAAAAGAGAGACTCCAGCCATTGTGGATCTCTGTCTAGGAAATTTTATATTCTGTTAGAAAAATATTAGAAGAGAAATTAATACCCAGGTCATAGGAAATGCTGGACCAAAGAAGAGTAAATAATTATCCCAAATCGAATAAACTGTAAAGAAAAAAATCAAAATTATTTATGACATTTATAATTGGAAACTCGAATTGTGGATATTCAATAATACCAATGAATTGATGTTCATTTTTTTAGACATCATAATGTGCATATGTTTTAAAAATAAAAGTGTTCTTATATTTTGGGGGAAACATTCTGAAATAATTACTGATAAAATAATATGATGCTTCAAAACAATATGGGAAGGTAGAAAAGTTGGAGATATATTCGAGGCAAGTGTGTGAAACAAGATTAGCTGTGAACTGGTAAATTTTTAAACTGGATGATGGTTACAGGGGGATTCATTACACAATTTTGTCTACTTTTGTACATATTTGAAATTTTCTACTTAAAAAAGCTTTTTAAAAACTTACCAAGAGATATGTATCTATTGAGTGTAGGATTTGATTAATAAAAAGAAGGAGGAATCTTCCCCTAAAATATATTTGATTAATAAAAAGGAGGAGGAATCTTCCCCATAAATTATATTTGATTAATAAAAAGGAGGAGTCTTCCCCATAAATTATATTTGATTAATAAAAAGGAGGAGGAATCTTCCCCATAAATTATATTTGATTAATAAAAAGAAGGAGGAATCTTCCCCATAAATTATATGGCAGAGGCTGAGTGTGGCAGCTCACACCTGTGATCCCATCAATTTGGGAAGCAAAGTCAGAAGGATTGCTTGAAGCCAGGTGTTCGAGACCAGCCTGGGTGACAGAGCAAGTGTGTTTCTGAAAAAAAGAAAAAGGAAACAAAAAGAAAATTATGTTACAATAATCAGTAGGTTGAGCCATAGATTGGAAGGAAGAACTTGTAATCTTCATTTGTTTTAAAAAATGTCCTTTGAAGAAATTAACTCAAACTTCTTAAACCCAAGTTGAAAACTGCCTCTCAGAATCATGTATTATATCAAATGTCAAATTCATATATGTTATAAAGCAGATTACTAAACAATTACAAAAGGTGAGTTGTCAAGACTTACTTTGTAAAACTGGATTGGAGTTCAATTATTCATATGCTCTCTTTCTGTGTATTTACTGAGTATTAAGCTTGTTACTGTGCTGCTTTTCAAACTTTGGAAATAAAAGGCTGAGATTTATTGCTTTGTTGCTAGGTTTTAGGCAACAACCAGAGGCCCTAGTTTTACTTTTCTTTTTCTACTCTGACTTGAGCTCTGTAGAAAATTAATTCGGTTTCTTAGCAACCCAGATGAGTAAAACTTAAATATACTTTGGCTTCTTTTGTAAAGCAATGGATAATGTTTCCACTAAAAACTGTTAGTCTCTCTTGGCTTTACAGAAAAGATTTGCTGAGATATATTACTCTGAAACATTTATGAAAAGCTATCTTTCAAATGGTAAGTGAAGTAACTGGTTTTCTAATGAATGTTTCTGCCTTTTGTTTTCATTTTGAATTTTTCTGGTTGTCAAACTGACTAGATCTTTGGAGCCTATATGTTTTATAAGTTAAGGTATATAAAATGAATTCACCTATGAGTAAAGCAATTCATTTATCCATGATATAATAAATAAATAAGAAATTATGAAAGGAATGTAAGAAAAAGAAAGCCCTGCTAAAAGACAGTGCTGAGATTCCCTTTATATAAGTTTTACAAATATGCATGAATTTGTGGTCTAAGAATTTTACTGTGAGCATGATAGCATATTATATTACATTTTTTTATGTTGACAACATTAAGATATCAAGAGTATCTGTATCTATTTATTTTCCTATCTGTCTCTACCTATCTATCTACCTCCCAAATATAATGTCATAAAATTAAACTCAGGTATGTAAGCAAAGGAACTTTAAATTTGCATATATTTACTAACTAAAGAAATCTGTTTCTTTTTTTATTAGCAAATTATAAAAGCAGATAACAAAAATATTTAATAACTTTCCTGGAGAAAATATTTGAGGAAGAAATTCAAATGAATGTTTTTTGTATTGTCACTAATATGATGAAGTTTTTCTATATTTAGACAAAAATATGATTAGATGTTTCTGTTTTAGAAACAATTTTCAAAAGGTGAATATAAATTTCACAATTTGGCAAACATAGTTATAGTGATTGAACTATATAAAATTTGCATTTTGGTAAGGTTGAAAATGGTTGAATGACAATTTCACACAGTCCTACCTAAAACATGCAGAACTATGCATAGAGTTTGTAGAGATAGAAATCTTTGTCCTAATAATCTAATTAGGGGTTGACATAAATAAATTATCCAGGTACAAGTCAAAACGTAGATTTGAGTTCCATTGTTGTATTCAGAAAAAGAAAACATGAAGCCTATATGGAGATCTGAAAATGCCGGTGATTGGAGGCAGCATTTAAACTGAACCTAGAGGTATAAAATATACTATCTTAGGTGGAGAATAACTATGCTTATTGAATGCAGATAAAATCATTCTTTTATTTTCAATGAAACGTCTTGGACAAAATATAGATTTTATAAAAGCAACATTTACTATTAAATCTTTAAATGAGAATATCACTAATTTATTTTTTCCTTAATTTGTCAATCATATATTTCATAACTTTGGATTTTTCTATGCTTTATTTTTTTCCATGTAAAATGAAGATTATGGTGCACTATTCTATGACAGTCTTCAATTATTCAACTGGACCTCCCAGTTGATTTATTTCTGCCTGGGAACTACAAATACATTTGTGATTCTATGATTTATACATAATAGAAGCTTAATTTTACATACATATTATTCAAGAGGATAATATGTATTAATAAATTCATAATATAAGGACAAAATAAGGTAGCATACAGAATTGAAACACATTTATTCTCTTTTAAAATGTGGCATAGTATATTGAGGCCTTGAATGTACTTGCTTCACTTCAGATCACAATGCAACCAGCTCAGAAACAGTGATGATTATGGCACTGAAAAAATACAGTGATCCCAAGTTTGTCAGCCTATCGTGGAAAAGTCTACAATGTTGTATAACAAGTTTCAGAACATGCTTTTGGTTGGTGAAGGAGATTCCATAATCACACCAGTGCTGAATAAATCTCTTGCTGAACAAAGACAATATGAGGAAGCAAACAAAATCAAAGATTAAGGGAAGAAAGTGACAAACAAAAAGTTGGAAAAGGAATGGATGCAAGGACTCTAAGTGGAAGATCTGATACTCAAAACAGTAATTACCCACAGCACAATGGAGCGAGCAATGAAGAAAACAGACAACCCTGAGACCAGCACTAAGAAAAAGCCATCCAGTGATGAGAGAGAGATGAAAACATGGCTGATGGATTCTACATTACATAGCAAGGTTGACATATTTGGAAAGTAGAGAGCATATCAGAAGTTTGTGAAGTTCTCATCTGTCATATTTAGACTGCTGAAAGTTTTAAGTTTTTATCAGCATAGGTTTTGATGTTGAAAACTTGTTTTGAGGGAGAAAATCTCTGTATCTTTGTTTAAAGGAATTAAACATTATCAGTAACTGTTCTTGTGCAGTAGTAACAGCTACATTATATAGTAAATAGGGGCAAAATCCATTTAGAAGATGTTAAACTGCATTTCCAGACATGGTTGTAGTGTATTTTTAATTAGTGCATGTATGTTAATGTGTAATTGCTAGTAGAATAAAGTTATATTTTTAAAACTGTTGCTTGTAGAAAACTTTCCAGTTTTCCCAAATACCATGGGTTTTGGGCATAGTTTCTACAAATCTTGAATTACCAGACTGTCTTTTCAGGCCGTGGGTTTTGTGAAAGTTAAGCATTTTTATGTAAGTTAAAATGTTACTTCTATATAAGTACTCACTCCCTTCTTTGATCAAAAGTTAATTTTAATCTCACCATCTACATTGTGCTAAATTCTCCTGCTTCTTTGAAACAATGTATGGTCTGTATGATTTTTTGTATGACTACTATTAAAAGACAATCAACTGACATGAACTGACCGAGAATTCTAAGTAAAAAACTCATGTTAATTTTTGAGAGTCATTTTGTTTTGTGACAGGGCATTCAGTGATCTTATGACTTCCCTTCTGATAACAGGTTTAGTATATATGGGAATGAATCTGGCTTTAGGGCTCAGTCATTTGAGATCTTTTATAGGCAGGCATAAGTAACTAAAACTGAAAATGAAATAAGCTTATTTTTGAGGAATGTAAGTTTCTAAGATTTTTTTTTTTTAAGTTGTACTCATTAAGGACGTCACAAGGCAGCATTTCAGTGGAAAAAAAGCAATCCATGTTGCTTATGTGTTAAATATAAGAAAATGCTATATAAGGAAACTAACGTATTTGAAAAAATGGTTATATTAGAAGAAAAAATTTATTTTCATTTCTATATCATACATGTGGAAGAGTTGCAAAAATACAAATATGCGTTGCTCCATGTACTTCGATAGTTTGTGTATTGGCATGTGTGGACTAAATCAGGGTGAAACTAGTGTTAACATAAATTTTAAGGGTATGTTAACTAAAGCAGAGGTCCCCAATCCAAACCAGGCCACACAGCAGGAGGTGCATGGTGGGCCAGAGAGCAAAGCTTCATCCATATTTACAGCCACTCCCCATCGCTCACATTACCATTTGAGCTCCGCCTCCTGTCAGATCAGTGGTGGCAGTAGAGTCTCATAGGAGTGTGTGCCCTATTGTGAACTGCACATGTAGGGTTGTGTGCTCCTTATGAGAATTTAATGTCTGCTGATCTGTCACGGTCTCCCATCACCCCTAGATGGGACAGTCTGGTTGTAGGAAAACAAGCTCAAGCCTCCCACTGATTCTACATTATGGTGACTTGTATAATTATTTCATTATATATTGCATGGTAATAATAATAGAAATAAAGTGCACAGTAAATTTAATGCACTTGAATTGTTCTGAAACCACCACCCACCCCTCCTCAGTCTGAGGAAAAGTTGTCTTCCACAAAACCACTTGCTGGTGCCAAAAAGGTTGGGGACAGCTGAACTAAAGGATGGTGTTTCTAAGATTTTTTTTTTTATATTAGGTCCCTTAATATTTTTCAATAAGGAGGATACTTACCATGTTTTGAAACTATATGAATGTGGGAAGATGACTTAAGACTAGTGTTCGGGTGTGACATTGTATGGTTTGACCCTCTAGGATAATTGTTTTTCTCTACAGATTAGAATTTTTGAATTATTTCAGTAATTAGATTTTTGCTTTGGAAAAGTCTTACAATAGAACTAGGAATTACTGTTTTGATAGAACCTGCATATGTACTGGTCCTTATCTATTTGGTCCTAAATAAAATTTTAACCTGTACAGATTTATTCTAGTTAATCCATAAGGGTCAACATGTAAACTTTTTTCATTAAATATACTAAATATTGTTGCTGACTATAGTCAACCTAATCTGCTATGAAACGTTAGAATTTATTTCTTCCATCTTACCATATGTTCTTATCTATTAACCAGCTTACCCTCACAACCCCCCTCACCCATCTACTCTTCCCAGTCTCTAATATTCATCATTCTATTCTCTATGTGATCAAGCTTTTTAACTACTACACATGAGTGAGAACATGCAGTGTTCATCTTTCCGTGCCTGGCTTATTTTGCTTAACATAATAACCTCTCTATCTCCATCCATGTTACTGCAAAAGACAGAATTTTGGCAGGGCACGGTGGCTCATGCCTGTAATTCCAGCACTTTGGGAGGCTGAGGTGGGTGGATCACCTGAGGTCAGAAGTTCGAGACCAGTCTGACCAGCATGGTGAAACCTCATCTCTACTAAAAATACAAAAATACAAAAACTAGCTGTGATGGGCACCTGTAATCCCAGTTACTTGGAAGGCTGAGGTATAAGAATAGTTTGAACCCAGGAGGCAGAAGTTGCAGGAAGCAGAAACTGTGCCATTGCATTCCAGCTGGGGCAACAAGAGCAAAACTCAAAAAAAAAAAAAAAAAGAGAGATACAAGATTTTATTCTTTGTTTTGTGGTTGACTGGTATTCTGTTGTGTGTGTATACACATTTTCCAGTGTTCAATTGATGGATACAACTGGATTTTATATCTTTGCTAATTATTTTTGGTATTTTTTTTTTTTTGAAACAGGATCTTACTCTGTCACCCAGGCTGGGTCACGATCCAGCAGTGGCAGGATCATGGCTCACTGCAGCCCCAATCTCCTGAGACTCAGAAGATCCTCCTAACTCAGCCTCAGGAGTAACTGAGAGGACAGACACATGACACCATGCCTGGTTAATTTTTGTACTTTTTGTAGAGACAGAGTCTCACCATGTTGCCCACGATTGTCTCAAACGTGTTTTCCATTGGCTAAATATTTCACAGTGGGATTGCTGGATAATATAGTAGTTCCGTTTTTAGTTTTTTGAAAAATCTTCATTCTCTAGTAA